TTATGGAAAAGAAAAATGTAGTATAACAGTGTTTAAAATACTTGAATTCTCTATGCTTTTACCTGCATTGTTTTAATTATTATTACAGGTACTCAGGGGCGGACTGACAACTCATGGGGCCCCCAGGCAATAGGGGATCATGGGGCCCCTGTGTCCTTGCCCAAACTCAAAAAAGCCTATGAAAAAGGTACCAGGGGCATCTCATGGGGTCCCCTACTAACCCCGGGCCCTTGGGCAGTGCCTGAGCTTCCAAATGGTCAGTCCGCCCCTGCAGGTACTTATATAGTGTTGTCAATTTCCACAGTGCTTTACATATATTATACATTCACACCAGTCCTTAACCCTCAAGGAGCTACAACTTGAGGTCCCTAACTCACATTCATACACACACATACCAGGGCCAATTTAGACAGGAGCCAATTAACCTACCAGCATTTCTTTGGCGTGTTGGAGGAAACCCACGCAGGCACAGGGAGAATATGCAAACCCCAGACAGGTAGTGTTGTGGTTAGGATTCAAACCAATAACTCTAATTCTGTTAGGCAGAAGTGCTAACCATTTAGCAACTGTGCTGTTGTTCACAGAGTCACTTTAAATGTGCAATTTAATGCATTTTTTTTTTAAAAAAAAAGCACTACATATACCTGATCCTGCCAGCAGTCTTGTCAGCTGATGCTTTATGCATGCGCTGCATTCTTATTAGTTACATTGTTCCCAGCACTCCTAAAAAGCATAGGTGTGGGCCCTTAAGATGAAGTTAGGCTGTTTTGCTCCCTAATGAATAAAACTGATGGTAATTAACAGACTTCTGTAATCAGCAATGACAGCATTTCATGCAGGAACATGGCATGCCAGTTTAAGAGAAAGTATGCAGACAAACATCCACCGAACACCAGACTACACTTAAAAGAACTAACAGGACGTTCAAACAATGCTTTTACTTTCTCCAGTTAATTATATACTTTCCTAGACTCTGCTTTGGCAGTTTATAATTATAGAGAAAATGATTTGAAATAAATATATGCATAATTAACACTGTGAAATTCCTAAGAAATTCAAATATAGTCACTGCAAAAAAACAACATGTATAAATAGATCTCTTGATCAAACATCACATAAAGGCAATTTTATCCACTTGGTCATGGGCCACATCATACAGCAAAACCCCAGTTGGTGTCACAGATACCGCAGCTTTAACACCGCCACTTAGGAAAAAAGAGATTGTTTTCAGTACGGGTAAGCAGTGAATGAGTAGGCCACCACAACAAGCTAGCAGTGCGTTATATATACACATCAGATTCAATTTTTAGCATATCATGAAGTGTTTATCAAGTTACGGTTGGCCTTGTTTATGGAGATGTCTGAGAGAAGAACTGTCTCAGGCTGCTTATGTTGCTGCATAACTACCACGATTCACCACTGCAAAGAAAATGACCGAGAACAAGAGTAATCTAGCATGGAACATAAATGGGAAGTCTTTCTTCCTCTGGGCGCCCTTCCCTCACCTTCACTTTTTCCTAGACTTAAACATGATAACCTGGTCAAGCCATGGGTTTGCGTTTGCTTGTGCACTAGTAGATATACTTGGTTGACATCTAGGATCTGGCTATAATTTCACATCTATGGCACCTTTAGTCCTAGTCAATATAGGACTAGAACACCATTGATCATTGGGTAAATGGCTTTGTATTTTAAAGTGTATCTGAATGCAAAAACAAATACGTAATACATTGCAATTGACAGGTCCATAGATGTGGTGGATGCATTCATTTTCTTTTTTCAAGATTATCTTCCTTTATTTTCACCCAGTGAGCCTTTCATCACCACACGTCCTGTCCTACAGAGACAACGCTTATTCAACATACTGTATCTATGGACAGGAAGAGTTTCCACCCTAGATTAAAACATTCACTATACCTACATAACATCTCCCCTCATTTCCATAACATTGGGGGAGGTGTTCTGCTTATTTGGACAGGGCTGATAATTGCTTAAGTTTTTAGTGCACACAGAAAGATATAAGCTCACTGGATTTCTAGCTGGAGCAACAGTGTTTCTTCTGTACTTGTGGTGTTTAAAGAGACAAAACATGAAGAAATGTTCAAATCCCAAACACGACACTACCTGCCTGAAGTTTGCATGTTCTCCCGGTGCCTGCGGGTACCTCCGAGTACTCCGGTTTCCTCCCACACTTCACAGACATGCTAGTAGGTAAATTGGATCCTGTCTAAATTGGCCCTAGTATGTGTATGTATGAATGTAAGCTACATCAGCATCATCATGGGTTTCCTCTGGCTATACTGGTTTCCTCCCATATTCTTGTGTTCAGAACATGTTCCTCGTTATATGATGAAGGCTGTACTAAATTGCTGCACGCTATGTCTACATTTACAAAACAAAAGTAAGTTGCATCACCATGGGTTTCCTCTGGGTACATTGGTTCACTCCCATATTCCAAAGTCATGCTGGTAGGTTAATTGGATCCTGTCTAAATTGGCCCTAGTATACGTATGAATTTGAGTTAGGGACCTTAGATTGTAAGCTCCTTAAGGCCAGGAACTGATGTGAATGTAATATATATGAAAAGTGCTGCATATTGACAGCACTATATAAGTATCTGTAATAAATAAATGTGAATATATTGTAGAGAAGCACCAAAAATGTTTTTTTACATGTAGCCTAAACATTCATTTTAAGACTGCATCTGGCCTAGAATACAGTTCTAGGTATATATTTTACACTGGGGTATATAGTAACCTTACTTTGAGATAATTCAAAGTTACCTTTGAGATAAAAAAGATATTCCCTGGCCAAATAAGAGATAAAAACTACCAGTATGTTCTAGGTTTTATCAGTAACCTTCTAGGTTGGCATGGTTGAAACATATTAGGTTCCTACCAGGAGACATCTACATATGACAATTAAGTAACTATAAGCATGCTTTAAAGAGAAATCTAATTTTTGGTATTTTTATGACAGACTGGTTAGAGAAAAATTTGCAAACTTCCTCTTCAGAATTTCTACACTTTAAATCCCTTAAACATGGATCACAGAAGGGTTAACACAGTACAGAAGAATTGATGGAAAAGAGCTGAGTGAGCTTAGTGTAACCCCCCCCCCCCCATCCAAGAGTGAAATCCAAGACTGTTGTTTACATGGCTTACTCTGCTGGTATTTGAGCTGTGGGACATGAATATTTATCTGAAATCTTCAGCCTCAGAATAGGAGGATAGGTGTCCCTAGGGGTTAAAAACCAATCAGTCCTGAAGATGCAGAGCTAAGCTGATATGTTTTAATTTTTTCAGTCTGTTATGATGTATAGATGTCATATTAAATAATTACAGTTGGCGATTCTCCAAACTGGTTTGGATGCTTTTAAAAAACATTGTTGATGGAGTATTTTAGTGCATGACCAACATAACTGCACAAATGTGTGTAGGAGCATTATAGAATCTTGTGTTCAGAACATGTTCCTCGTTATATGATGAAGGCTGTACTAACTTGCTGCACGCTATGTCTACATTTACAAAACAAAAGTAAGTTGCATCACCATGGGTTTCCTCTGGGTACATTGGTTCACTCCCATATTCCAAAGTCATGCTGGTAGGTTAATTGGATCCTGTCTAAATTGGCCCTAGTATGTGTATGTATGAATATAAGTTAGGGACCTCCGACTGTAAGCTCCTTGAGGGCACTGACTGATGTGAATGCAAAATAAATATGTAAAGCGCTGTGTAAATAGACATATTGGCTATATAAGTACCTGTAAAAAAAAAAAAAAAAAAAAAACATGTTGCAGTTTGGTTATAGGAACAGACTGACAAGCATTTTAATAGCATTTCTGTCAATGATTTGAAATGTTTTTGGCAGATGCCAATGCTGCATTAGAAGAGATCCTTGTTAGCTTGGTCTCTTTCCAGTTCCAAAGCAAAGCCAATTTGATATTAAAGAAGTATGGCCAAAGCTTTTTTGGCCTTAATTTTCCTATGGATCAGAGGAGTGCAGTTCTTTCTGATCCATTTTCAGCCAACAGCAGGCTAAAGCCTGTTGTTGATTGACATCTCTCATTTGGTCCACGTTCAGGAAAAATCCCAAATTTACATCAGGATCCACCCAAATGTCTGGACTGGTGCTGAGAGCCTGATGAGAGCCTGAACCAGCCCTCTCCCACTCCCTTCACAGTCTGGCGCTCCAGTGAATGCTGGAGGGGCAGAGCAGAGAGCCAGTGACTAGCAGTCACTGGCACTCTGCTCATTGAAAACTGGGAACTGAGCAATCACCAGTCTTTGATCGCTCAGTTCTCAGTCTCAAAAGCAGCGGGGGGGGGGGGGGGGGGCAGATGCAGCATCGGACTGATGTGCCATCCACCCAGGTGAGTATATATATATATATATATATATATATATATATATATTTTTTTTTTTTTTTTTTTTTTTTTCTTAAGAAACTCATACTTCTCTTTTAACAGTACTGCAGTCCAAAAAATGGGAAACACTAAAATTTTCACAGAAATGCAGAGCAGATAAGACAAAAAAGCAATTATAGACGCATTAATGTACTGTACGCCAAAAGCCAATACTTTTCTTGTAGCTTTGGTTAGAATGATGGTGGGTTAGACTCTCTGATGGGAATTTTTTTGCTTTTTTTGAGTCCCGCTGCTGATATTCGCTCTCTCTATTTGTCCTGGTTGTAATTTCCTAACACTTGAAGAGATTTACTGCTATGTCAACAGGACAAGAAGCAAAAGAAATTCTCCCCAATGGGACACAGAAGGCAAAAAACCTTACAGGATTTATAACCAATTCCTATTCTATTCAAAATGGAAACAGGTTTTAGACAGAAGATGTGAAACTCAGATAAATCAGTGGACCAAACTGAGAAAGCTAAATCCTTGAGTGGACCACATTATGTGTGCTCTGTGGCACAATAGGGCTGTGTGGGGACGCACCTACTTAATCCTAGAAAGAGAAGTTAACTTTATAGTAAAATGTAGCTCATATAACATTTCCTTTAAGTGTTACTAAACCCAGGACCCTGCATTCACTATATCTGATCTCCCACAGTACACAGAACATGGAAATGCAATTATTTTAATTAAAATAAACTGCTAAATACCTTTTCTCATCAGTAGTTAGAGTAGTCTTGTGACTTCTATCAGTGTTCAGCAGAGCACTGGTTAAAGCTTGTAGGAGGAGTTTTCTTACTGCTGTAGGAGGATGCAGAACTCCTGATCTCTGTCTGGACAGTGCTGATTGGTCCTGTGCTGATCACATGCACTCTCCCAAAAAAAAAAGAACCCCTCTCTAGCAATAGAAACCAAACTGAGCATGTGCAGAGTGTCTCCACATGATATGTCTTATCAGGAGATAAGAGGGGGACACTGGAAGAAAGGGAGGATCAGAGAAGTCAGGATCAAACAGCTTTTTTACACAATGCAGAGGATTAACCCCTTAGTTTCCACAGTGAGTTTAACAAGCATGCTTTACTGTATATACAGACTGATTTTACTGTTGTAGTTTTAGTAACGCTTTAAGTATTTTACTACAAAATGATGTAAGTGTATATAACTTATCAGCTGGAGAACAGCTGGTGGCATACTTTTTTTTTAATCCATAAACTAAAGAGGGCTGCAGAGAAGGAGAGCCACATGTGGCCCATAAAACACTAGTTTGGCGTGTCTGCTTTACATATACTTTAAAAGATTCAGTTAAAAAAGAAAAGCACAAAACTCTTATGTCTGTTTTCACCCATGCTAGAAAACGTTTTTTTTTTCAATACATATAAAACTACCTTTTTGAAATTATAGAAGCCTCACACAAAATACTGTATCTGGCATTTTAAACTGACCACCTGATCCCACATGAGCTAACTCAATGTTGGCTTCCATTTGAGTCAATCACTTCTCTATATAAACCAGTGTCTTTCTATGACTTCCACCTCCTCTCCAATTTGTCTGTGTTTCATTGTATCGCTATCAGTAATAAGTAAAACTACAGAATATAAAACCAGTAATGAACCAATAAGTATAATACACATCTCTAGAATCTGTATTTATTTTAATCCACTGGGAGTGTTGCCATATTAGGTTTTCATGTTAAAATAGATTAACATTTTCTATTTACAGAAAAGAATACGGGGCGCTCCAACCGCAGAGCTAGCAGAGGAATTGTGGAGGAATGCTGCTTTCGAAGTTGTGACCTAGATTTATTAGAGACATACTGTGCGAAGCCGGTCAAGAATGAAAGAGACCTTTCCACCGCACCTGCCACTGCATTGCCATCTCTGAATAAGGTGAATGGGAATGTGTTATGCTGAGGAGTTCTGGTAATGTAAATCTGCTTCAGCAATCTGCTGACTTAGTTCTAAAATATCTGTACCCAAAGAAAAGGTAGAGAGGATGAGGGCACCAGGACATCAGCCAATGTTTCACTAAATTACCCTTGAAATGTTGAAAAATTGCAGATCATCAGACAAATTGTTGCATTAACACCATAAAGTACAACTATAGATTTCTTTGCATTAAAATTGTAATGGCAGCAATCCTTTCATAAATCCAATCTGCAAGTTTTTTTTTTTTTTTAAGGGAAGGCAGGTTGAGAATTAGGCAAAGGTCATTATGCTGATCACACTGATACAAAGTGACAAAAATTAATTGCCAAATATTAATATGGCCATATATTCTATTTTCTACAGACCGGTGGCAATAGCAGTGTTTTACAAATAGCCAATTATGAAATTTTCTAATCCAGTGTTTAAAATGCACACACAAACAATAAAATATATATGCATATATATATATATATACACCATGCTCTGGTTAAATTTAAAAACATATGCAGTAAAACATCATAAACTAATTGGCAGTCAAAATCCAACAGGCCTTGCTTGTGTTCAGCATTGGTTGCAATTAAAAATATACATCAAGTTATGCAGAAACGTTTTATCGGCCATTGAGCTGGAGATGTGTTGACTGTGGATCCTTCAGCCACCACCTGGCTTGCTGATTGGTTGCAACGCTTTCTATGTGAATTTTTGTAATCCTGTTTGGAGCAGGTGATGAATTCCACATTAGTTGATGTAGATATTATTTATTGAAATATCCATTTTTTGTGTGGCATTATTAATCATGATCATTGTTTTTTCCTCTTGTAGGAATTGTACCATAAGCATTCTCATACCAAGCACTCTAAATATGACATCTGGCAAAGAAAGCCCACTCAGAGTCACCGATTAAGGAGAGGGGTCCCTGCCATTGTCCGGGCAAGGCAGTATCGGAGGTGGGTGAGGCAAATAGAAGAATCCCAGGAGCTTTTATCACACCGACCATTAACGACCTCACTGATGACACCATCTCAATCTGTTCAGCAAGACTCAGAGTCCTCCCATAATTGAGCTGGGAATCATTACTAAGCAGGATTCCACTGCCTTCAATTTCTGTTTCTATGTTCTGTTTGTTTTTCTTCTGTCTTCTCTGAACTGGAGAGAGACCAAGCCAAGCGACAGAGTTGAAGCCTGAAAAGCTCAATGTGACACCTCACAGAAGAGTAAAACAAGCAAACTGAGACACCAAAGTTGGAACAAAAACAACAACATTGCCTTTTGGTGGGGAATATTTCTGTGGATTTTTGCGTCCTTTTCTGTGTTTTTTAACAGTTTTTCAAACTGCAGCACGTATGTATGTACGTGAAAAAGTATGCAAAGACACAACTGTATTTTTCTGTGTGCATGCACACAAATATGCATCATCCGGGCACATTGGGCCTAGCTGTGCCGTTAAGGAAAAACAAAAATGTTTTACCAGTGGAACTATTTAGAAATCCATCCACATGATTACTTTAAGGATGGAAAGAGGGCAGATGAGAGCGGAAAAGAAAAAAGAATTTCCCGCTGTTTCTTACATCTGGTTTAACATCTTGACACTGCTTAATGTCTTCTTTGTTTTTCCTGTAGCATTTCAATGTCAATGTCCAAAATTATTTTGCACCTTTTTTATGCCTGGAAAGAAAAAATTGTAGGGCATGTAAGGTTTTTTTTTAGGGTTTCTTTTTCTCTTATTCCTTTGTGTCACTGAGGCTTCAGCAGCCTTATTATTGAAATGCGCTGCCATCTTTGGCATCAAAGGGGTTGAGTTCTAGAATTCCAAATGTATTTGCACCTTTTAATCATTGAGAACTAAGAGAAAAGAAGGGGAGAAGTAGGCAGATGCCTTTTTTAACTTTGAATGGGAGCTCTGTCTACTTTGCACATATGCCACAGATTACAATGATTTTTATATATGTATAATATATATATTATATTACTTTTTTGTGAAAAGGAAAAAAGTCAAGCACTATTTTTTATGGAACTTTTTTTTTGTATAGCGCTGAAAGAAGGGGATGAGTTGATGTAAATATGATGTCCTTTGGTGCTAATGTCACTTAGATGGGAAGAGCTGGAGTGAGATTGTAATGTAGCCTAGGATTCCTAAAAAACGTGCATTCCATCAATTGAATCCTGTGAGGCTTTCTTTGAATGAATCCTCTGCATAGTATTAACGTAAGAGATGAGAACATATTGAACTTGAAAAAAATAATGCTTTTCGTTTTAGGAAAAGTATACCTGTTTTTTCCCTCCTCTGAATTATATAGAGGATATAATCTAACACTAAAACCATTCATATGCATTCAGATGAACATATAATTAGCTGCACCATTACTGATTTGCCATATCTAGGGGAAAAGGGAATTAACTGTATCATTCTAGATTGCCATACCCATTAACAACTAGGTTTAGCTTTGTCTCCCAACAGTTTTTTTAGGGTCACGAAAACAACAGATTTTGGTAAATGCAAGCAATATTTGCTAGAATATAGTCAACATTTGGGCAGATTTTGGACAAGTCTTAGGCCTAACTTAACATATCCTGTTTTTTTTTGCATCTTGAAAGGTTGGGAAGTCTGATTTTACCACTTGGTCAACACTGTAGATTCTATACCTTATGGTCTGCCACCTCAACCGATTTCAATTGCCATATGGACTTAAAAGCATATGTCATTAAATGCAGCACTGAATATTTTTAAAAACTAACTTCTCTAATGAAAACTGATACTTCTCTTTTTATGTTTCACTCTTAAACTAAGAAGCAAAAGCAACCAATTTAGCCGTAAATTCAGTAACACACAAATAACACATTTCCATTGTAAAGGGCAAATAAACCTTTAAAAATGGTTTTTATGCAAGTGCAGTTCATTTTTTACAAGCATTATCACAACTCACCAGGACTCCAAGGTGTAAATGGGCCATTGGGGTCTTTGCTATCTTGTGAGACATCGACCTGGAGTCCTCAGACTTGTCTGGCTGCATGCTTATTGATAGTGAATTCCACAGAGATACTTTATACATCGTTTGCCTTTCCACATTTACATTGATACACATAGCACTCAACCTCTGATAAGCCTACTTTAGTTTGCACTTAGCTACCCATAAAAAGTGAATACTTTTAGAAATACCCAAACTTCTTTTAAACTTTAGCCCTTTATTTTTTAATTGACCAAAACAACGTAGTTTAATATAAAATTCAAGTCACGTTTGTTTTATATCAGAAATCTTTCTTTTTTTATTAAAAAAAAAAAGCTACCAAACATTTATTCCATAACTTGAAAGCCATATCGCCTTTTCTATAAATATCTTTTCTTTCATACTTTTTTTTCAACATAATTATGAACTAAAGAGAATTCATTAGGGAATAATATATTCTGAAAGATTACAGTGATTGTTGTTCTCTGTGGTTCTATAGAATATGCAGTACATTTGTCTTGTAAAATGTTTGAACACTTATGCATAAAATATAGATTCAAACATAATATTTAGTTATAATTTTTATGCATAGCGTTGCATCGCCAATGACATTTACATCATTGCGTTTGCAGCAGCTAGTGCAAACACTACCTATATATTTTTGGGAATATCATAGCTGTGATGATATTGTGAACATTTTTGGTATGTGGTAGTATGTGACCAGTAAATTAATAGAACATTTTTTTCTTTGATGTAGCCATAGCCCAATTGTCAATAGTCATTTCATCACTAAATGTTTAGGTAAATGATGTTCTGCATAGCTACTAGATAGCTTTCTCATAACTTAGGCAATATAAGTTAGAAAGATCTGTATTGGTTCAGTAATAAGCCACTCTTGCATTCTGGGAAAATGTAAACCTGCCATATATGAACGCCATTGATTGGATCATAGTGGC